GGGGCTGGGGGGGGGGGGGCTTGGAGGGCGGTGCTTTTTTTTGCTGCTTGGGGCAGCAAAAAAGTTAGAGCCGGCCCTGATATCAGGCGTTCAGTGTATTCATTCATTTATTTAGACAATTACATTTTAATGTGCAACTTTCAGCATGCTACCTGAAGCCTCTCTTGTTTCAGTAAAGCAGCTAGAAAAATAGCAGCTTTGTCGAATGGTGAGGAATATGACCCTTTTTAAAGGTTCTTGTAATTTTATGATTTCTGCTTTCACTCTGGAGAAATTTTGCCGATTTCAGAAATGGCCACCATCTCCCATTACAATTTATGGGACTGAAGCCTTGGGTTTCCCTCACAATATCATCTACCATTCCTTACGGCATTTTCAGGTGAAATGAGACTGCCCACAGCAAAGACGGCCACCATCACCCACACTTTCCAATGGGGCTGAAGCCAGGCTGCCTTCAGAAAAGATGGTGGCTGCTTAGTGACCATGTAAAGGTTGAGAAGAGAATGGGAAACTGGGGGTGCATCAGGGAGGGGGAATGTGTTAGAGGATGGGACAGAAAGCTCTGAGAGTCAGAAGGCAGGGTGAGGTCAATGCAGGGAAATGTAGAGAGAAGGAGGCAGACTTCGGGGGAATGAGGGAGAGGAAGGCAAAAGGAGATTAAAGGGAATTTGGGGAAAAGTGGGAAAAGGTTTATTCATCACCTTTTCTACCCCCCTGGAAGCTTGTTGAACATTCAAATCAATCCTCCCTGCATTCTGCTCAATTACCCATCATCTGATTCTGCAGTGTGTGATGTCTTTTTTACTTCTGTGTCCTGGCCAATTCTTCAGACAAGATTTCAATGTATCCAGTTGTTTGTTTTTAAATAGTGTTTTCATTTGAAGCATCTTCCCAAGATCACATGTTTGTTTGGGTTTATACTTTTTCTTTAAGAAAAGCTATAATTTTTATCAAAAAATTAAACCCAGTATTATGTGCAATACATATTGCAAGTACCAGAATGCTATTGAGAACTCTACAATGGGACCCAGCCAACCAGAGTCTCTTGGATGTCTAGGAGACTTTGCATGGGTGGACCTCATTCTAGGATTGAGGCCTTAGATGACAACGGATAGTGCTAATGTATTTTCAAAATATATATAAAAACAAAAAGTAGACTTGTGTTCCCTAGTCTTCTAATTTTGATTGATCTGTGTTGTTAATGTTCCATGTGGCTTTTTGGTATCTTAATCTCTCTTGCTTTCCGCAGCCTTTTCTAACTTTGTTTTCTATTGTAGTTTTCTATTGTTTTATCTCTATGTTGTGTGGTGTGGATTTATTATGGAAACACATTTCGAGGAGTAAAACTGCAGTCCATATTGGAGGGAGGAATGTGATTTACCACAGATAGGGGGTTGTTAAATTTTCAGAATAGTTTAAGCAACAACCATTAAAAAATACAGACCATGCTAGCAGCTGTATGCAATTATATAGAGCATATGCAAGAGTGAAATTGGCATGAAAGGCTGAAGCAGCAATAAGCTTTAGTAAAACCAAGGGCAGATTGTAAGGAGATTTACCAGAAAACCAGTGAGTAACTTTATACCTGTGCGTGCGGGTCACTTCCTTTGTGTGAATGATTTTTGGTGTCATAGAGGTTAGTAAAACAAAAGGGATTCACAGTCAGAATAGCTGACCATACAATGTGATGACTGTAAAGTGTACACTGAATTCACAGGCGTAAGCATGCATGAAATCAAATATAAGGCCCTACCTAATTTGCGATATTGCAGAAATTGCAGATCCCGCAATATTAGGATTCCACCGCCATTCTGTCAACCAGGTGCCTGACAGCGGGACACCGGCTGCCAGCCGCCAAGCACTAACAGAAGGGCCCCAGCCACCCGGGGCGGATGGAAGGAGCCCTTCGCATTAATGACTGTAATATAGATGCAGCAAAATGTCTGGTTATTAAAAAAAAAAAAGTAGTAGGCATAACATCGTTTATATTGTTCCAGCAAATTTTTCTGAACTAGGTTTTCTCTGGCTTTTCCAAATTACTGCAATTAATAAAGGTCTATTCTTACTTTTCCGCCATTTTCAATGTCTTGTCCACAATTCAGCTGCAATTATTTGACAATCATCCCTTGATTCAAGTAGGGTCTTAATTATATATCGATTCACAGAAGGAGCAAAATCAGAAAAGAGAAGTGAGAGAGAAAATAATTACAGAAGACTAAAAAGAATCCTGGTCCATAATTTCTCGTGGCATTTTATAACTTTTTTCACTGCAATAGTATTTAACTTTCCTTTCACATTAGGATTTTGTGCCCCTATACTAGATCTACTTTCCCATATACACCTTTAAAAAAGCTTTTTTAAAAACCCTAGCTCCGCTTTTATCCTCCATCCCAATTCATCTTTGCAACCCTAGTGACAGTACATCACTTAATGAAAACTGGGATATTAGTTGATTTTGTTATGGGGCTATTAAATTAATATTTTAAATAAACAATATTAAAAGCAACCCTGTTGACCTAAATAAACGTTTTTGTTTCTTGCCAAGGCTAACTTTGTTGGTAATATAGGAATTGTCATTTTGCATCAGATCCGTGGGCCATCTAATCCAGTATCTTCTCTCTGATAGTGGCCAGCACCAGATGCTTCAGAGGAAGGTGCAAGGAACCCCACAGTAAACTGCCCCCTATGAAGGCCTCATCCTAATCTCTGATCCTTGTAGAGTGGCTTAAGCCCTGAAGCATTTTTATATTTCTTCCTAGATGTGATTAGCATTAACTGTAATAACTCTAGATTTCCTTCCTGGTTAAGTTGTTGGCCTAAACATCATCATGTGGCAATTATGCACTGTGTGAATAGTTTTTCCTTTTCAGGTTTGATTTTGCTACCTGTCAAAGTCATTGAATGTCTCCTTGTTCTTGAGTGATATGAGACAGGGAGAAGAGAAGCTCTTGATCTACATTCTCTATATTATTATTTGTAGGTGTTGTTCTTCTCTTAAAACCACTGTCATATTTCATCTTTATCAACCACAGCAGTGGAGGTGAAAGCTGTCTTAGCTCCCTGAATACCTTACCTGTTGTGAACTCAGGGACCTTGAAATTTTTTTCCCCACTGCACTAAACAAAAAATCCATAGGACTTGGAGAAGTGTAGCTCCACGTGCCATAGTGCCATGCAAACATTAGGCAAGTGAAAATAAACTATTTTTTTACATAATGTTCAGTGGAAACAAATATTTCCTTTTTGGAACTCGCATCTCCTTATCTTCAAAATGCTTCAGCTCAGCTGTTGAGAACGTTGATTGGATCAGCTGTTATGAGGCAGAGTATAAAGTCCATTGGGTGTACTCTGAGCTTTCTTTCAATATTCTGATGTGCATATTTCTAAATTATGCTTCAGAGAAAATGGGCAGAGTAAGACGTAGGGTATGTTTACACTGCAATTAAAAACCCGTGCTGGCCCATGCCAGCTGATTTGGGTGTGTGGGGCTTGGGCTGTGAGGCTATTTAATTGCAGTGTAGATTTCCTGACTCGGGCTGCAGCCCAAGCTCTGGGACCCTCCCACCTCTCAGGGTCCTAGAGCCCAGGCTCCAGCCCGAGCCTGGAAGTCTACACTGCAATTAAACATCCCTGCAATCGAAACCCCAGGAGCCTAAGTCAGCTGGCACGGGTCAGCCGCGGGTGTCTAATTGCAGTGTAGACATATCCATAGGCTTTAAACGCCTAATGAATGATAGAGTGTAACAGGTGACTAGCCCTATATTTATATTTCAAATTTTATTACGTGTTGAAGAGCCAGGAACTTATATGCTCAAACTTTCCATAATGTTGTGAATTCAATTTATTTTTTTATTTTATTTTAATTATGTATTGCAGCACTGCCTGGTGTGCTTGATGCTGCACATGCATATAGGAAGATACACTCAGAATTTAAAAATTGTATGTGTTAGCTCTGCATCGCTATGATGGAAAATACAGTTTGGGGGCTAGCGGATCAGAAGGGAGAATTAACTTTCTTTTTATATTTATTTAGCAACCCTAATAAGCTTAATGCAAGTTAGTATGGATTTCTCTGGACATGTTGAAACAAATGATAGTAACATTTATAAAGGAAAGTCTTTGAGAGTTGGAACTGATTCCTATGAATTTGGTGTAACTTCTCAAAGTGAAATCAACCATATTCTCTGTTTGTTTCTCATTGGTGCAAGAAGATTAAACTGATTTGCATCTATTAAAATATTTACATCTTAGTTCCTTTCTTAGGGGCTCTTAATTCTCAGTCCTAGTACTTGAGCTATAGTCATTCAGAACAACTCCCAATGATGGAAGACAAGTAGAAAATAGAACATCATAAAAGTCTTTCTTCACAACCTTATATATATGACTTCATTAAACAAAAAAATCTTTTCCATTTCCATCCCTTTTCCCGCACCACATATTGTGTGCAAGACTGAAGGCTTCACATCAATCTTCACATATTAATTATATGTGTCATACAGATTACTAAGGTACCACTAGGTATCATATGTACTTATTAAGATTTGGTATTGTTTTTCTATGCCCTCTCATTAGAAATATACAGAGGCCTGTATGTCAGAGTAGTTCTCCATATGTCACAATGCCTACAGACACACTTTAATTTTGCAAAATCTCATTCTGTGTTGATCTGCTTATGAATCTCAGTGAGCAACACGTGGGGGCAGGTCTACACTACGGCGGGGATCAGCGCTCTGAGATCAATCCACCAGCGGTCGATTTAGCGGTCTTGTAAAGACCCGCCAAATCGACTGCAGATCACTCTCCTGTTGATCCCTGTACTCTACCCCGAAGAGAAGAGTAATCTCCCTTTGACCCCCCCAGAGTGTAGACCCCGCGGTAACTTGACCTAAAGTACGTCGATCGACTTACCACAGTAGTGTAGACATAGCCTGAGACACGAAGTACTTGATAGAGCACTTTTCCACTGATTTAATGTTTTGTTGCTCTGTGCTTGTTTTACAGGCCAAAGTTCAAAAAATGTCAGTTCATCTCCAAGCATAGAGAGCTTGTCTGCAGGACGTGAATACACAGGATCTCCTCCTTTGTCTGCATCCAAGAAAGATTTCTTTTTCAGTACCATCTCCCGTTCTCGTTCCCACAGCAAAACTATGGGCAGAAAAGAGTCTGTAAGTTCCTGAACATTGTGAGCTGGTTTGGGTTTGTTTTTTTTCCATGACACATTGTTTCACTTATTGGAATTGATATTTTTTCTTATTAATTGTTTGCCTTTGAAAATATTCCCAAGCAGAAATTAATGACAAAACAGAAATCACTGAAGATATTTGTATAATATTTTTTGCTAAATAGCATCTGCTCTCTACACTCAATCCCACAACCCTACTTTATCTTCTGAAGCCCCTGAAAGTCTTGTGGGCCAGATCAGAGGAGAGACTCCTGCAAGTTCATTTCTTTCATTAGACTTCCAGGGTGGGCCCGAAACTAATAACTAGTTCAGAGACGGACTTTATAATCATCAGATCCAAATGTATCCATCTGGTGCCCCTCAAATTCCCTAATATATTAGAGGTTTCCCGCAATGTCTGTCACATCTGTATCCTACAATGACAGTTATATCTCCAAGCATCCACTTTCTTAAGCCACAAGAAATTCTTATTTAAAAAACTTGTTGCTTTCATCTAAGGAACTCTGTTGATGTAGTAGGTGCTGTGTAAGAACTTACCACCTTACTAAAGAGCTTAGAGGAGATCTAGTTTGATTAATCTTATATGTTATGGGAGCAAGCTCCTTCACTGAAATAAAAATTAATTAATTTAAACTTAAAAAAACATTTTCTTCAGCCATCCGCCTCACATAATCTTTCTGATTGTTAGAGACATATTTATGTAATGAAAAACTGTAGAGTTTTTAGCTCAAAAATGGAGGCAAAATGTACATTTTCTGTGTTTTTACAAATTTGTTGATAGAATTTCCTGTTAATTTCACCAAGTAACTGTAATAGCAAAATTTCTGTACTATACCAAAACTTTCAATATTCAGAGATCCCAGAAATACAAACGCACAATGATAAGGTAAAAACAGAATGGAAACGTTAACTGTGAATGTCATAACTTTAAAGTTTTAGCCCTAAGATTACAAATAATATAGATTTTTCTGTTTGGTATTTAAAATTTGCTGCCTTACTAGAAAAGTTTTTTTTTTAAATTATTATATTTTTAAATTTAAGACCTTGCCTACTTGTTTTTCAAATGAAGAAAACATGTCCATTCTGCTTTTTACTCAGCTCTGTTCAAACAATATACTGGGAATAATGAAGATACTGGAGTGGGAGTTATTTGCTTTTTCATTTTATTGGGGTGCCTAAAGACACAAGTATATAAGGCCTTGTCTACACTGGCAAGTTTCTGCGCAGTAAAGCAGCTTTCTGCATTGTAACTCCTGAAGTGTACACACTGCCAAGCCACTTAGTGCACAGAAACTAAGAGACGAGGTGTACAGCTTTCTGCACCAGCGTAGACACCCTGGTCGATTAGAGTGCTGCGATTGGCCTCCAAGAGGTGTCCCACAATGCCTGTTCTCTCCTCTCTGGTCATCGCTTTGAACTCTACTGACCTGCCCTCAGGTGACCAGCTGTGAGCCCCACCCCTTAAATTCCTTTGGAATTTTGAAAGTCCCCTTCCTGTTTGTTCGTTGATGCGTGCAGTGGTCTCAGAGCATCTTTCCAGGTGACCATGCTTGCTCCACGCACCAGGCAGTCCCTCGCTTGGAGCAATGCTGAGCTGCTGGACCTCATCAGCATTTGGGGAGAGGTAGCTGTCCAGTCCCAGCTGCGCTCCAGCCGTAGGAATTATGATACCAACGGACAGATTTCACAATGCATGACAGAAAGGGGCCATGACCGGGACACGCTGCAGTGCAGGGTCAAAGTGAAGGAGTTACGGAACGCCTACCAGTGGAGACTTCAGTGGCTCGCATGCCAGTCAAGAGTGGACCGAGCCAGGAGGAGGAAATCTTGGACAAGGATGTGGAGGGGGTGAGGATCCTAGAGGCAGAGGACGACTCAGAGGTCAGAGAAGCATGCAGCCAGGAGCTCTTCTCTACCCTGGAGGAGACTAGCCAGTCACAGCTGGCAGAGCTTGGCGAAGCACAAACAGGAGTGGAGGCCCCTGGTAAGTGGAGCTGCATTGTGTTTTGCCCCATTAAGGGTAACTTTCCTGCACCACTCTGCCATCACAGGGGTTTGGGGGGGGCACCATTGCTGCACACAGTTGAACCACATAAGGGCCAGGGCAGAAGCTGCAGGCTTGGAGAAGACCCTCCCTTGATTCCCTGCTCACCCTCAGCAGCGAGATACCTTCCATAATGAACACAGCCCGTGGAAAATGTGGGTACAGTAATGACTATAAGGCCACCCCTACAGTGCTGGCTCTCCCCAAGAGCCACATGCCCAGTGTACAGTACGGTCCTGGAACACTGATTTCCCCTGCCCCTGCGGTTATTCACCATTTTGGGGGTCTTGTGGCTCATGTGTGCTTTCCGGGGGTCAGCCAGTTAGTGACAGGTATGTGAATAATGGCTGTGTTTTAAATCACTGAATCAGTGGTCCGTGTGTTGCAAACAATACTGCTTCTGTAAAATGTTGCATTTTGGCTTCACAGATATGATTTTGGGAGCCCAGTCTCCCTCTTTGTTATCGCCGGCTGAACGGCTGCGCAGAATTAGAAAGCAGGCACAAAGAACTAAAGAGGACTTTCTACATGATGTCATGATGCACTCCGCAGCCGAGAAGCAGGAATTGAAGGAGTGGCGGGACAGTTAGAAGAGGGACCAAACGGAGAACGTGGAACACCAGAAAGACGCCACGGAGCGGCTCTTAAACATTATGGAGCACCAAGTGGACGCGCTCCAGGCACTACTAGCACTGCAAACCGAGCAGCTCCGCGCCCGCCCTCCCCTGCAGCCGCTGTCGCAAAACTCTTTCCCATGTGCTCCCACATTCCACTCCTGCCCTGTCACAGTCCAGCCCTGCGGACTCCCGGTACCCACTGCACTCAACACCCATTCCTCTGCAGTGTAGCCCTGCTGAAGTACAGTACCCGCTGCACTGGACTCCAGAGGAGAAGCTTGGATATGATACCTGGACATACACAAATCTTTAATCATCCCGAGACCCTGCATCCTCCTGGGACCCTCCCTTCCCCTATCCCCCTCAGTGCTGATGTGCTTTTTTTGTTTCTCTCTCCCCTCTAGTTGTTTTTTAATAAAAGAATTGTTTTGGTTTGAAAGCAATCTTTATTCCATTAATTAAAAGCAAAAAGAGCCCTGCAAAGCAACAGGCAATTTTCTTACACCTTCATAGTGCATCGTCTGCACCAATCACAATCACCTCCTAGCATTACAAGCGCTGCACTCCCGAGCATAACAACAAATATTAGTGGCTTTCAGCTTCAAATTGCTGCCTCAAAGCATCCGTGATCCTTATGGCCCCGCGCTGTGCCCCTCTAATGCCTTGGTCTCTGGCTGTTCAAATTCAGCCTCCAGGCACTGAGCCTCAGCAGTCCAGCCCTGAGTGAAGCTTTCACCCTTCCCTTCACAAATATTATGGAGCATACAGCATGCGGCTATAAGCATAGGAATATTGTCATCGGCCAGGTCCAGCCTCCCATATAGGCAGTGCCAGCGGGCTTTTAAACGGCCAAAAGCACACTCAACAGCCATTCTGCACTTGCTCAGCCTGCTGTTGAACCGTTCCTTGCAGCTGTCAAGGTGCCCCATGTATGGCTTCATAAGCCACGGCATTAAGGGGTAGGCAGGGTCTCCCAGGATCACAATGGGCACTTCAACTTCCCTTACAGTGATCTTCTGGTCCGGGAAGAAAGTCCCTGCTTGCAGCTTCCTGAACAGGCCAGTGTTTGGAGCAGGATGCAATTAATGGCCCCGCATACTTCCGTCAACCCATTCTGAACTCATTAGCAACGGATCGGTAGCAGTCTGGAGTAGCAGGTTCCACAGTGCAATCGCCACGTGCTTTTCCAACGACAGGGCAGTTCTCATTCTCGTGTCCTTGCGTCGCAGGGCTGGGGTGACCTCATCACACAGTCCCATGAATGTCCCATGAATGTGGCTTTCCTCATCCGAAGGTTCTATAGCCACTGCTCGTCATCCCAGACGTGCATGATGATGTGATCCCACCACTCAGTGCTTGTTTCCCGAGCTCAAAAGTGGCCTTCCACTGTGGTCAGCATCTCCATGAATGACACAAGCAATCTCATGTCGTAGCTACTATGCATGGCGAGATCAATGTCGAACTCCTCTTGCCTTTGTAATTTAAGGAATAACACCACTGCCACTCGTGACGTGTTAGTCAGAGTGAGCAGCATATTGATCAACAGTGCGGGATCCATTCCTGCAGAACAAAGAGGCAGAGCGTGCAGTACACAAACCGTTGAAAGATGGCACCAAAAGCAGATGGAAGCACAGGGATTGCTGGGATACGAAGCAATGCATCACGGGGCATCGGGACAGGATCCAGGATGCCCTGCAACTCCCTGTGCCTTCCCACAACTCTTAGCGGCAGAAGAGGAAGAGGGATAGCTGCCCAGAGTGCACCGCTGCAAGTGCCGCAAGTGTGAACACGCTATTGCGCAGGCAGCTGTGTGAACACACAACAACGGTTTCCCTTCAGCGCTCTCTGAGCGGTGCTGTAACTCTGCCAGTATAGACATACCTTAAGTAGTGTTTTTCCAGTTCCAAGAATAAGCTCCACGTGAACTGCTCTAGTCTACTTTGCTCTGTGCAGGCAGTCTCCCTGCATCCACAGAGAGCCCCACATGCAGAACAGCTTAGAATATCAGGGTTGGAAGGGACCTCAGGAGGTCATCTAGTCCAAGCTTGCAGAATCAGGGCCCAGGAATGCAAGAAACATTAACTCCTGGGCACTGCTTGAGGCACAGTGGGTTGAGTTAAAGGACAGAATGGAAACCTTACATCTCTCTCCCTGCCTGCCTGAGATGAAGTAAAACAAAACACATTAAAATCCCTACAAAAATACATTTTAAGTAATGTATAAATGTATATATTTTATGGGTATAATTTAACAGGATCTAAATTTGACCCAATTATGTCTACAGCTTGTGGTCTGGCTATCATGCTTAATCTCTTGTGTGTA